CTTTTCTTTTTTTCAGTCACTTTGCTTGTGCAGAATTTAATTAACTAAGTCAAGGAACCTCGTGACGCTGGCTTCTGTTCCCTTCTGTTATTTGTCTAATAGTTTATTATTTCCTTCTGTTACTACACAACCAACCGAATGCTCTCTCTCTCTCTCTCTCTCTTATATATATATATATATATATATATATATATATATATATATATATATATATATATATATATATATATATAAGGCAAAGTGAATAAATATATTTCATTTGTCTGGTGACGCTACGTATCTTTTCTTGGCAAATTTTACACCCTACGAAAATATTATCTTTTGGGCCGGTTCATACGGTTCAGGTTAACTATCAGCATCATTGTTTAAGTGCGGAACACGTTCTTTCCTTTCACCTCCACAAAATATACTCCCAGTTTGACCTTGTTCAGCACAATTGTCATTGTTTCTATCACTTTCTCCCTAAAAATAGCAAATGAACCACATCTTTGTCATTTAAATTTTGTGATTTATCCATTTTCCTTTATTTTTATTAATCTGGGAGGCCTGACAGGCAGAGCATTCCCTGTCCATAGAATTTGATCAACAAATGAGCCGAATGCCTGGCTTCCATTGTCAGCCATTTTTGTACCAATAGTTCGTGTAGCAACATTAAAATGAGAGCTTCAGTGCCTTTGAACAGACTTTTATTCACAGAAGACAGAATTGCATGACCAGAAACAAGGACATGGAATTTTTATGAATATTTACATACTTATATATAAGAATATTGCAGCTGATTTTCGAAGTATCTCATTACATTCCGAGATCCTCCTGCGATCCGTTGTGAATGACATTTTTGTTTGGTCCTTGTAATACCGGCCTGCCAGTGTGTAGTTCAGCTGGTCTGTGTCTCGTACTCGATCGTTCCCCTCAATATCCATAACGAGCGTCAATTTCCCTCCCTCCTCACCTCTCGTTAGGCTAGATAGAAAGGGGTGACCCTAACTTGGCCGTCAGTGGAAAAAAAAGCCGCTTATACAAAGAGAGCAAGAAGAGAATTACCCCTGACTTGCACACAACGTCAGATGACGAGTGCTGCCGGGAGCGTCGGCTGACATAGCGAAACCTTATATCCTGTACCTCCTCTGGCTGGGGTGGAGAAGACTATCTGCAAGATTAACCTACATTTATTTCATGTTCAGAAATATACCCATATTTAGGATGTAGTCACAAAGCTTCATCGTTAATCTCTCTCTCTCTCGTTCGATGAACAGGTTTCCGAGCCTGAATAACTGCGTCTTCATAGTGACTTTGTAGCTACTATCGCTCAAATAATTTCTCAAGTAAGGCAAGTTGTACAGTGTTGGCTGACAGTAGGAATTAGAGAACAGAAAATGGAATATTGCCGTCGACGACGTCAAGAGGATTGGCAGAGATTACAGGATCGACAACTGTTTCCGGCTTCTTTCACCAGCTATAGATGTTGTTCCCTTCCTTCTCTCCCTGACCCTCATCTATGCTCTCCAACTCATATAATTTTTCTGTGTTTGATATATATTATACTTACAAACCCTGACACAAAAAGCAGTCATTTGGGGTCTTCACCAAAAAATTAACTTTCTTGAAATACTTAAATGTTTGATACACCATTTTCCTCGGTGCGTGAAATTAACTTTGCTATAAGATATATACTAACGTTCCTAACTCTAGCAGTAGAATGGACTTGACTCCCTGCAGCGTGAGCCAGCGCCTCAGGCTGCTCTGTCGTGTCTCCGGCGGTAATCCCACTCGCTTCACCTCTTTCTTGGTACCATAATTTACTTTTATCCCTTACCTGATAATCCAACATGGACTAAAAAAAAAAAATTAAGATAATACCTTTTCATTTACAGTTCCCTGCCACGGCCAGTTACACCTTCCCTACTACGAGAAGATTTAATCTCTTGTTAATTGCACACGCATCTAAACACACTTTACGTAACCCTTATAACCTTCACCCAAAGCACTTCCCTAGTCTCTAAGTCATGGTTGTACATGATAACTGTAACTTTACGCCTCCACCAGAAAACTCACGCTAGCCTTCATCTCATTCTCAGCCATCACACATCACTCGGCCTCAACACGTGGGCGCTCCTCACCTCAACTGTGACAGATCCTGGGCTGTAAATTCTGGGATTAAAATGTAAACTCTGGGAGAGTGCTTGGTGCTCTTAGTATAAGACGTAGATATGTTTTAAGTCTTTTATCTCGGTTATCATCACAACTCCTTTGTTTTAATCAAGAATTTACCTGTAAAAAATTTATGATTGTAATGGTTTGTCAGAGCAAAAACAAGACCTCTTATCTTTCTTAAAGTTACAGAATAAACCCATTTGGTTTATACACTGGTTTGTGACGAATTTTATACTTGCTACATAATGCAAATTGGCGGTGTCAACCCATTGTTCCTATTACTGGTGCTGGTCCTTCTTACCCGCTCCTGTAGTAGTTGAATGAGGGTGCGCCAGGTCCGTAGACTTGCGAGTGATATAATATTTGAGGGCACGCCTCACGCAATGCGCAGGAGATTAAATCCCAAGACGGAAGCGAGGTCGAGCCCTCGTGTCGGGCAGATAGTCAGCAGGCACCGAACTCGCAGCAACCGATGGATAAATGCTCCTCGAGTAATACGATGACCTAGCCCCTTGAACATGATGATTTAATCCAACGAATACGATAACTTGACTAGGATGAATTAACTTCTTGACTACGATAAGTTTATGCCTTGAATACGAAGAATTAAGCCCTTGAATACGATGGCTTAACCCCTGGGTACGATGACTTAGCTAAAAAAAAGGGGGGGGGGGGCAACGTCAAGTACCCCAGATAGTTCTTTCGTAAAATACATGTCACCGACTCTCAACTGTGGCACTGCAACATGCTACAATGTCAAAATTCAAGAGCTCTAACATGTTCATAAGACTTGGGCTGTTGGGAGGAGGGGGAGGGAGAATATCGGTTGTGTTGTTTTACGTCTAACAGTTTATTTATTAATGTTAACTACAGTAAAAATGATTTAGTTGCTGATGAAGTGAGAGAGTTAGTCGTTTGTGGTAATGTAAGTATAGTATTGGTGGCTTTTGCAGTTGTCAAGTGTTATATGTTATATGTAGTGATGATGGATGATGTTATATGTCGTGATGATGGATGGTGTTATATGTAGTGATGATGGATGATGTTATATGTAGTGATGATGGATGGTGTTATATGTAGTGATGATTAGACAATAAAATAATAACAGTTTAATGATAAAAAAATATACTTTGCTGTACCTTTATAGTGAAAAACATGGTGGAACTTACATACCGTTAATGAACTATTGATGGAAGAAGAAGTTTTGGGGACTGAACAGTGAGACAATGTGGAGCCTCTCGGAGGGTGGCGTCCTACCGTTGCCCAGCGGATGAGCTCTGCTAGGACATACATACATACATACATACATACATACATTGGAATATCAAAATTCTTGGAACAATTTTGCAAACGAATATTTGTAATTTATCGATCTACTAAGAGCCTTCAGTCCGTATACTGTATAATCTGTCTTGCGAGGCTTAGGCTTCCTGAGAGTAGGAAAACGGAATCAGCTTTAAAGTTTGGAGATGAGAGGAGGGGCGTGCCAGACTGTTGTATCGGGTGTTCATTCTGAGTTTATTATCAGGAGTCAGGTGAACGAAGGAGTCTTATCAGGTGACGCAGTAAAGCCGAAGTTCAGTAAAAAAAAAAGCATTGAAGTAACACAGAATGAGTGATTAATAGACAGCATCAACGTATAGTAAAAATTCATAAATTACAAAGACAAACACAAGCAGGGAAAGATGCATCTCCTTCTCAACAGCCACACACGTCCGTCAAGAAAACACGTAGACGCGACGTAAAATAACAGGAAGTGGGTCAGTGGCTGGAGAGCGGTGAGGAGATAAGCCCGGGGTTTGAAATGAGTCCGATATATAGGAGTCAGTACAGTTAAGGAGAAGGGAGAAAGGCAATTGATATGCGCGGTCACATTGTCTGAGGACCTGCGGCATTAGAAGCTGATATGGCATGAGAACAATGAGTGGACATGAAAACACCCGACCTCATTTTTGTGTATAAGAGATAATGGAGTATGTGTGTGTGTGTGGTCAGTGTAGACGACGACCAGAGAGAGGGAAAGAGGGAGAGAGAGAGAGAGAGAGTGTGTGTGTGTGTGTGTGTGTGTGTGTGTGTGTGTGTGTGTGTGTGTGTGAAGGGTTAGCAAAAGAAAGAGGTGAGAAGGACCAAAAAGAGCGAGAGGCGATAGAAGTGAGAGAAGTGGAAAGAAACAAATAAGATAGGAAGGAAAAGAGGCAGCCAATTAGTGATGATCTAACATTAGTAATTTCCTTGTATTAATTCCTTCATTAATGTCAACAACCAAAATATACTGCATACGTCCACAATGCCGGGAGAGTAAGCTAAGCTACATCTATTTCATCAAAGTTATATCTGTACGTGTAAATTTTATCGACACCAAAGCCAAGGAAGCTCCTCATGGAACTACATTTTACTCTGGTGACTTCAGGGAGGATGTCGAATCGAGGTCTAGTATGAGGAGGGTCGAGCTTGGGAGGCAGAGCGTGGATGGTGGTGGTGGTGTCAAACTGGCACTCCACCACTATCGTTGGCCTATATATTTTTTTTTTTAATTTCAGATTTTATATTGTATTCAAATATGATAACTAATATATTAGATACATTTACTATTGCACTTGCATGAGTAATTATTATAATACTTCATTAAAATATTCAAATGCAGGAAAACTGGAAGCTCGGCATCGCCAGACCTGGTAGTAACTCACTTTCCCTAAGATATTCTTAATGATTAAAACCAAATTATGCAGGGTCACGACGAGGCCTCCTCTAGCTTCCTGCCGGGAGAGTTTGGTCTGCCATCTAAATTCATTTTGTACTCCGGCAAACTGAGCGGCGCTCGTCAGAGTCGCCAGTTATCCCCCAGACCGGGCAGAGTGTGGACGTGCGTCTCGCTCACTCCGGCCGTGCGCACTCTCTCGCCGCGGGCCAAGGGAGGCTGTAGACGTGTGCCGCATCACGGTAGATCCCCAGGTCTTACAGCATGATGTCATTCACTCATCTTATAGTCAGAACATTGACTTTCTTGTAAAGAAGTACAAGATTTTAATGAATTTTGTTTTTACCTTTTTCTTTTATATTTCGGTGCAGTGAATGTGTTTCTGTAAAAATCATCGAAATGTAAACAGGAAAAATTTCATGGAACTAAAGAAACTATTTTTTCTATGGGCATAAAAACACATTTTATATGATGAAACAAACACTAATAAATTATTATCCGGAAAACACTAATGTGTACAGACGTTAAGAAAGTTGGTGGTCAAGAGACATACGAGTTACAATCAGAAAAAAAACTTCATGAGTGTGTTGTAGAGTGTGCGAGTAACCTGGTCATGTAAGTAACCTGGTCAGAGGAATGTTAGTTTGAGGAAACGTTTCAGATTTATAATAGAAACTAAAATAAATAAAATTACTTTCACAAGAGTAATGGGAAATGTCCAACCACAATCAGGGAGAGAAAAAGGTGTGTTGCTTGTGTCATTAACTAATGAATGCAGCCTTGGCCTGCCTCACCCCTCACCTAACTGGGAATAAAGACTTGAACTGTCAGCTTCTGTAGAACGCTGACGAAGGTGACTGGGAGGCCGACGTTTTGTTCCTGCTGAAGGTTATTATTACTTATTTTAGTCAAATTAATGGAGACATCGCTGTGTATCACCTATTAGGCTACGGTGGTACAAGTTGTATTTTAGGTTTAAGAAGTACTCAACAATTATTGCTATATGATCTGGTCAAGTCCAGATCATATGGCACATACTGACAACTTTCGACTTTATAATATCAAAATGTGATTATAAACACGACTTAGAATTACCAAACCATATATATATATATATATATATATATATATATATATATATATATATATATATATATATATATATATATATATATATATATATATATATATATATATATATATATATATATATATATATAACAAACACTGGAATATTTTTGCCTTGCGTCAATACAGGAAACATGGTGTGATAGATACAGGAAACTGATATGATGAAAAATAAACTTAGTTTGATTTAGGGAAGATAACTTGTGATAACATGTGACCGGTAGGAGTAGTGTTATGTGCAGGTATTGTAATGGTAAGGTAGAACTGACAAATAAATCATTTCTGTTGCTCCACACAGGCTGGGAGTTCTGTGTTGACACTCCTGGGGTATACTGTAATCTGCATATTTTTCATAATTTTTATGCGGTAATGCTTCAGTTCTTTTATTTCCCCTAAGGTGAGCCTCTTGCCTCTTTAACCGAGACTCATGGTTGGTGGCCTCATTACTATTAAATTTTTCCTCCAAGGATAACGATGCAACTTTGTCCGTGTATCCGTCTTACGCTGCCCAGTCAAGAAAACAAACAGTATTTGCTGGGAAACCAAAACGGGAAATGCCTTACGTTTCAATGATTAATTTGTCCAAAAGTTAGGTTAGGTTAGAGTGGACCTATGGACCGTCGACCTACCTTTCCTGCAGTGCAACAAGCGAGCGTAAGACTGGCGCCTCGTATCAAATAAACGCACATACGCACCAGTAATTATGATATTTTTTAACTAAATTATCCTAACCATAATCCAGATTACGTTCGTGAACTTAAGTTTGTTGGATCAAGTTAGTTAAAGTTTGTTTCGATATCAGTACTTATTCTCTGTATGTTAATTTATTATGATGTCTGATAATTACATGCGAATGGAAGATGTGTCCCTCATAATTTCCTTCCTTGTTAATGTGAAGAGAGAATAGTTGTGAAGGCAGAGGCAGAGACAGCAGTTGTGACCACCTCGACTTCTATTTGAGTTATGCATTGAGTAAGATTCAGAAGCACTTCCATGTAAATAATATACGTGAGGATTAGAGGATCATATCGCTCCAGCAAGTAACAAGTTTGCATAAATTCAAAATCTATTTACATCGATGTGTGGGAAGTATTTGAACTACAATTGTATAATACGGTCTACCCAGCATATAATTACTGTATAAGAGAATATCAAGAAAAAGGCACATGAATGTTTTTCATGTTCCTTGAGAAATCCAAAATTAAGGATACAGTAATTTATATTTTTTTACTGATCTTATTATGGATGATAGTTATATGTATTGTCTGATATAAAAAAATTAATACAAGGTCAAAATTTACTCCATTATAATTATATGTTTTGGGAAGAATCATTTTATTGAATCTTAAAACGCAAATATAGCTGTGTTGCTGTGATCCCATGACAACTGGTGTATCTACATACATGGAGTAATCGATTACTTAAATTCAGACATCCTTCAGTATATGTTTATAGGGACAAGTAGGTCAAATTGGATAGTTTAGTACTGAAGTTGTTTATCTATAGTCTGCAAAATGTTTATCGACATGATCAATTCATAATTAAAAAAAAAAGAATATCATTAAAACTTGCGCTGTCGCATTGTTTAAATGTCATGGTCCGTGATATGAGTCGTGTGATCACAATATCAAACTGAATAAGATATAGTATTAATAAAGCAAATGTTGAAAGCGTAATCAGCGTGTAGTATTAATATTATAATCCCCAGTTAGCTTCCCAGTTAAAGTTAAGAGAACTGCTGGAGGAGGTTAGCTCTTGACTTCTAGCCAGAAAGTATTTTTCCTTGTGTACGAGTATATGGGTGTTAGTTGAGAGCATCAGCTCAGTATATGTACTCATAGTATTGATTACTCTACATTTGCAAAAAGAAAGAAATATTTATAAGTAATGTGGAAAATATACATAACTTTCTGCTAATGATAGATTTAATAATGTGTTCGGTATGCGCAATAACGCAAAACAAATACTGTATAGGGAGCGATGATAACTTATTTTTAAATATGATGTCTTGGAAATGTTTATCCTAGTGAGATTGTGTGCTTTCAGTGCATTAGCTTTTAAATGTGCAAATTTGGTTTGATGTATAATGTACTCTATGAGGAAGAGGATTTTTAAATGAAGCTTCTAACTTTACTACGGTAGCTGTGAGTTAAGTACTTTTAAATTATGTTTGACCAATATCTGACATAAGAAACTTCTTAAATCGTCACCACAATCTTGCGGAGAGTTCTATCTCTCATAATTTGTAATTGTTGTTGGTCTAGCGTAATTATCAACCTTGTTACGAGCTTCAAGATTATTGAAACGCAGTAATAACATTATAACAACAACCACAAGCAATTGCAATACCTGTACTGCATGCCCAAATGTGTACAGGTATAAAACTAATAATGTAGTTTGGAAAATGAGTTTAGCAATATATATATATATATATATATATATATATATATATATATATATATATATATATATATATATATATATATATATATATATATATATATATATATATATATATATATATATATATATATATCTCATCAGTCCATATAGCATATCTATAAATACAAAGAGACAAAGATTAATAGAAGACTCGTCGAGGAGTTTGTGGTTAACTGGTTCATTTACCATCAAATTTGGGTTAACTAGGAAAGTTCTCCGTCTAATCTTGTCAAGAAATTCAGGTAATATAGCGTGATATAGACAAATTGGGATAGTTGTAAGACAACCTGTTGAAATTACCCAAGTTTGTAATATCAATTGGTTATATTCGATACAAATTGTGTCCTTAATGGAGCAATAAACTTAGACTGCAATATGTAGAATAATATGCCGAAGTTGTTCTACCGTCTTTTGAAGTAAAAAAGTGTGATTTATTTGTGCATGTCTTACGAGAAGGATTTGGAGATAAACTTTACCAAGCTTTAAGATTCTTTGGTTAACTACAAGAAGTGGTAATTGTTAATGATAAAGACAGCCTAAAGCGACACCGTCCGAGTCTCCATATAACATGATTATGGCCTTCTGGGTTTAGAAGAAATAAATGTTGAAGAGTAAAGGAAGCACCCAAGACACACCAGCTGCACTACAGTGACCATTAATGTTGGTGACGCAGATGGTGACCATTAATGTTGGTGACGCGGATGGTGACCATTAATGTTGGTGACGCGGATGGTGACCATTAATGGTGATGTAGATGGTGACCATTAATGTTGGTGACGCAGATGGTGACCATTAATGTTGGTGACGCAGATGGTGACCATTAATGTTGGTGACGCGGATGGTGACCATTAATTTTGGTGACGCGGATGGTGACCATTAATGTTGGTGACGCGGATGGTGACCATTAATGTTGGTGACGCAGATGGTGACCATTAATGTTGGTGACGCGGATGGTGACCATTAATGTTGGTGACGCAGATGGTGACCATTAATGTTGGTGATGTAGATGGTGACCTCTAAGTGTTGGTGACGCAGATGGTGACCATTAATGTTGGTGACGCGGATGGTGACCATTAATGTTGGTGACGCGGATGGTATTAATGTGGTGACCAGATGGTGACCATTAATGTTGGTGATGTAGATGGTGACCTCTAAGTGTTGGTGACGCAGATGGTGACCACTAAGTGTTGGTGACGTAGATGGTGACCATTAATGTTGGTGACGCAGATGGTGACCATTAATGTTGGTGACGTAGATGGTGACCACTAAGTGTTGGTGACGCAGATGGTGGCCATTAAGTGTTGGTGACACAGATGGTGACCATTAATGTTGGTGACGTAGATGGTGACCATTAATGTTGGTGACGCAGATGGTGACCATTAATGTTGGTGACGTAGATGGTGACCACAAGTGTTTGGTGACGCAGATGGTGACCACTAAGTGTTGGTGACGTAGATGGTGACCATTAATGTTGGTGACGCAGATGGTGACCACTAAGTGTTGGTGACACAGATGGTGACCATTAATGTTGGTGACGCGGATGGTGACCATCAGTGTTGGTGACACATACAGTGACCTTTAGTGTTGGTGACAACTACAGGGACCATTAGTGTTGGTGACAAAGCTACAGGGACCATTAGTGTTGGTGACACAGTTACAGTGACCATCAGTGTTGGTGACCAGCTACAGTGACCATTAGTGTTGGTGACACAGCTACAGTGACCATTAGTGTTGGTGACACAGCTACAGTGACCATTAGTGTTGGTGACACAGCTACAGTGACCATTAGTGTTGGTGACACAGCTACAGGGACCATTAGTGTTGGTGACACAGCTACAGGGACCATTAGTGTTGGTGACACAGCTACAGTGACCATTAGTGTTGGTGACACAGCTACAGGGACCATCAGTGTTGGTGACACAGCTACAGTGACCATTAGTGTTGGTGACACAGCTACAGGGACCATTAGTGTTGGTGACACAGCTACAGTGACCATTAGTGTTGGTGACACAGCTGTGACCATTAGTGTTGGTGACACAGCTACAGTGACCATTAGTGTTGGTGACAGCTACAGGGACCATCAGTGTTGGTGACACAGCTACAGGGACCATTAGTGTTGGTGACACAGCTACAGTGACCACTGGTGTTGGTGACACAGCTACAGTGACCATTAGTGTTGGTGACACAGCTACAGTGACCATTAGTGTTGGTGACACAGCTACAGTGACCATTAGTGTTGGTGACACAGCTACAGGGACCATTATTGTTGGTGACACAGCTACAGTGACCATTAGTGTTGGTGACACAGCTACAGGGAC